CTTCTTTAAGCATAGAAACGTAAGGAGCAGATCTAATGTGGAGAGGAATAGACAACATGTGGTCCTCTCCTGATGAAGTGCATCCAGACGAATTACCTGTCAGACGTGGCGGTGAATTGCTTTTCCTTTTTCCGATTTTAAGTCAAGAATGCCGTGTTGAAGTTGTGTGGGTGTTGTGGCTCGTTTAATTAAACGAATCACTTTGAATAATGAGGCGTTAATGGAATGTAACTGCGGCGGTTAATATACGGTACATGTTGAGCACTAGCTAGTCTCCGTGATGCGCTCTGCAGACAGAAATCTGCACATCACAGAGAACGACGACGAATGGTAGAGAACGTAAAGCACCCACATTAAGGGAAACGCTCGGATGTTTGATATTGATGCGTATTGAATAGACTGTGACTGTTATCGCCAGTGTAATAATGAGCATATCTACATTTGTATAATAAAGGTCTAAGCTACGGTTCATCAGACGCACTGATGGAATCTCTATCGGTCTGATCCTTCCTTATTTTTTTATTCTTAATACGTTCCTTTTCTTTTCTATAAAAGTGAAAGGGGTTATGATTTCTGGTATTTGAAAATACATGTATTTTGAATCAGTAGTGCAGGGTATAGCTGTGTTGGATGTTCTCCGCATGTCCATGTGGGTTTTCTCCAGGTTCTCCAGTTTCTTCCCACCTCCCAAAAACATGCCCCTGTCCCAAGGTGTGTCACATGACCCACCGATACATCTTTACTGTACAGCTTCGGTCTGGTAGACGTACTGTGTATATTCCTTGATTTCGAAAACATTGAAAGACATATTTGTATTATGTATAATTCTTTACGTTGAACGAGCCGTATGTATGTTTTATAGGTTGTGACTTTGTACAATTTGGCTCAGGGTGGTTTAGTGGTTGGCATGTTCACCTCACACCTCCAGGGTTGGGCGATCAAATCCCATTTCTGCCCTGTGTGTGCATGGAGATTGCATGTTCTCCCCGTGCTTCGGGAGTTTCTTCCGGGAAATCCGATTTCCTCCCTCAGTCCAAAGACACACGTTGTAGGCTGATTGTTGTGTCCAAATTGTCCGTAGTGTGTGAATGTGTACGATTGTGCCCTGTGATGAGTTTTCCCCAATGATATGTTTTAAGATTAGCTTTAAAAGTGGAGACTGTTGGGGCCAGCCTCACTAACAGTGGTAGACTATTCCATAGTTTAGGGGCAACAACTGCAAAGGCCCAATCCCCCCAGCCTTGCTCTAGGGACAGCCAGGAGCATGTAGTCTGCCAACCTAAGGGACCTCGATGGGACATGTGATGTTTTAGGTCAGACTTACTGTAAGTGTAATCGTTAGCTAACATCAAGAAAATGGCTTCTCTGGTCAGTCAGAGTGAAGGTAGAAGCTAATTTCAGCACTGGATACTGGCAGAGCACGACTTTGCATAACGAGCATGCTTAAACCTTAGAGAAGGACATGTCAGGACCCCTGAGGTTGGAGACCTGAGCTGGCTTGCCGGTGTGTAAAGCCTTTGATGCCTGGTATGCAAAGACAAGAGTTTTGAGTTTGATTCTTGCTCCAACAGGAAGCCAGCGGTGTGACCTGAGTAGGAGGGTTCACACGTGAGAACTTCACGACACTGTTAAACAGTTGAGCACCAGGACACTGAATTTTCTGTAGAGGAAATGTCCGATATGAAAAGAGAAACCAATAAAGGAAAAAGTTTGAGTGGGGAATTCTGGATATAACCAGAGCTTGTATTATAGGTTGAGCAGGTTTTTTTTATTTGGTCAGAAATACAGCATGTTCATCTGATGATATGAAGAACGCTTCAGGATCTGGGAATTGATATGAAATCATCATGGTGATAGGTCAACCAACAGATCTGATCACTGAGCTTAATAATTTAGAAGTGGACCAAGAACGGACCCCTGAGGGACTCCCACCTTAAGGATGTGAGGTTACAGTTTTCTAAGCTTCGGTTTTCGCTGACCGTGGTTTATAAAATATTCTGCCAGAGCTTTCAAACTTTCGCCATTCTGGCACAAATCGCATGTATGGGCGGGGCTTAACAATGAGTTACTCTCATTGGCTAGTGAGATTTGGATCGACAGTTTGAATGTCCAGCTGAGGATAATGATGATGATGATGATGACGCTCTGTGCGTCAAACCTCAAATATTAATTACGAACGAATATACTGACTAAGTAAGTCATTTCCACTACAAAGTACAAACACTATAACGACACGGAGAACAGCGTCAAGAACTCTCTCTCCAAAATACACACCACTGAAGTCTTTACTTCCTGGACACTCGAGCGGCCGATCCAAATCTCACTAGCCAATGAGAGTAAAGCGCTGTTAAGCCCCGCCCATACGCAAACTTTCAAAGCACACTCCTAAACCATGATTAGCGAAAACTGTTAGCAAAGAACATCTGGTTTGTGTGTTTTTTTCAGTCAGTGCTTACTGGTGCATAGTGTCAGGGTTTATATGAAAAAGAACGTAACACATATTGAGTCAGCTGTGATATTAAAATAATAATAATAATAATTAAAAAAATAAACCCTTCTGGTTTTGACCACGCCCACTTTGTGCTTAAATCCGAATGCAGCTACAGATCTGAATATTTGGAGCACTAAACAGATACAGATGCAGTCTAGCACTTAATCTGATTTACCTCACTGACCTCGTATCTCATCTCAGTTTCTCTAATCTTCTACTTGCATCCTCCTGGCCCCCCCTTTTTTTTTTTCAATCTCAGCCCTTTAATTTGTTTCTATCCTTGAACACCTGGCTATAGTATTGACACCCACATCACATGATCATGCTTTAATCATGATCATCACTTCCTCCTGATTTGTCAAGGTTGGACTGGTTTCCCGCCCGTCGATGTCCAGCCTGCGATATAAAGGGTGTGAAATGTACTAATGATTATCCTGTTATTTCTTTAAGGTTAGCTATAATGTACCGTGATTTGTAGTTACGTCCTTTTTTTTTTTTTTTAAATTCCTTCTTTCACTGGATCTTTGTCTCATTGTCTCACATTCCCCTGCAGGGCCTGATGGCAGCCTTCCTAAAGCTCATACTGCGCTCTGCATATGAAATGAGGCCAAGAGTGTATTTGAAAGCCATGCGAACTGAGAGGAATGTTCTGCAGCTTCCAGGGTGTGTGGCAGGAATAAAACCAGACGATATGGCAAGGTCGAAGGGGCGCTTGGACATGTGAGTGCTTTTTGCAGGTGCGGTGAGAAACCATATGGAGATCATGTCGTACCCCGTGTTCAGGATTTAGCTGATTCCTACCTGCCCTCTTTGTTTTAATGGAAAACACATTTACAAACCAGAGCTACTGTCTGTGTGTATGTGTGTGTGTGTGTGTGTGTGTGTGTGTGTGCGGTGTGTGTGTCTGTGTGTGCATGTATCTGTGTGTGTGTTTGTGTGTGTGCATGCATGTGCATGTGGGTATGTGGCTGGGTGTGTGAGGGTGTGTGTATGTGTGTGAGGGTGTCTATTTCTCTCTTTTTCTTGCTTTCTCTCTGTATCTGTCTCTCATTATATCTCTCTGTCTTGTTCTCTGTCTTTCTTTATCTCTGTCTTGCCCTCTGTTCTCTCTCTCTCTCTCTTCTCTCTCTCTCTCTCTCTCTCTGTCTTTCTCTCTCACTCCCTTTATCTGTTATGCAGTTTCTCTGTCTCTCTCCATCTTTATTCCTCTGTTTGTCTCTCATATTGCTCTGTCTTGCCCTCTCTCTCTCTCTCTCTCTCACTCTCTCTCTCTCTCTCTCTCTAGCTTCAACTCAGTCTGTATCTCTGTCTACCTCTCTCTCTGTTTCTCTCTCCCTTTCTCTATTATCTTTGTCTGTCTGTCTGTCGGTCTGTCTCTCTCACTCCCTTTCTCTGTTATGCTCTTTCACTGTCTCTCTCCATCTTTATTCTTCTGTCTGTTTCGCATATTGCTCTCTCTCTCTCTCTAGCTCTTTCTCTGTTTGGCTATCTGTCTTCTCTCTCTCTCTCTCTCTCTCTCTCTCTCTCTCTCTCTCTCTCTCTCCTTCTCTGTTATGCTCTATTTCTTTATCTCTCCTCTATTCCACTGTCTGTCTTTCTGTCTTTTTTCCTCTGTCTGTCTCTCTCTCTGTGTTTCTCTCCCCCTTTCTCTATTTTGCTCCTTTTCTGTCTCTCTCCATCCGTATTCCTCTGTCTGTCTCTCATCTCTCTCTCTCTCTCTCTCTCTCTCTCTCTCTCTCTCTCTCTCTCTCTCTTGCTTTAGGGAAAGCTGGGACTTGTTCCTGCTTGTGGTCAGAGAATGAGTGCACTGCATTCCTTCTCTAATCAAACTGCATATTCTTCTCATAGTTAATAAGCCAAAAGTCAGGACAGCTCATATGCTTTTACACCGGCGATTAATCAAAGCAACAGTCCGTGTGTGTGTGTGTGTGTGTGTGTGTGTGTGAGAGAGAACACAGCAGTATAGGATTTATACATATAGTACAGACAGAGCAACAGCTGTGGCGGTGTAGCTGAGGTGATGGATGTGTGAATGGATGTGTTTTACAGGTTGACATTCTCTCCTACGCCTCTTTGTGCTCCGTCAGTCAGATAGTGCCTGCTCTCTTTTCTGACATTCCTTCAATTCAAAAGCTTTTTCACCTCACGCTAAAAAAAAAAAAAAAATCTTTCTAGGACATGACCAAGTGAGGTGTGTTTCTTCCTTTCTGTTATTTAACAGACGTCAGTGATCACAGTTGAACGAGCACGTCATCGCGTAGGGACCTAACCGAATACGGATGTAATTATTTCAGAATGAACAGATCATGTGTTCCATGCAGGTGTGCTAATGTTTTGGAGATCTCCATACGGACGAGATTTACACTGAAACGAATGAAGCATCGGATCAGTTGTGCATTAATACACCACGGATTAAAAAAAAAAAAAGTTTCACACTGAAAAAACCAAAAAAAACAAAAAAAACAAAAAAACGTGTGTATGTTTTATATGTTGTGACTTTGCACATTTGGGCCCAGGGTGGTTTAGTGGTTAGCATGTTCACCTCACACCTCCAGGCTCCGGGGTTCGATTCCCTCCTCTGCCCTGTGTCTGGAGTTTGTTCTTCCCGTGCTGCGGGGGTGTCCTCCCCCAGTCCAAAGACATGCATGGTAAGCTGATTGGCATGTCCAAAGTGTCCGTAGTGTATGAATGGGTGTGAGTGTGCCCTGCGATGGACGGGCACTCCGCCCCATAATTGAGGCATTATGCCCGATGCTCCCTGGGATAGGCTCCAGGTTGCCCGTGACCCTGTAAGATAAGTGGTATAGAAGATGGAGGGATGGATGGATGGACAACATTTGAGAGAAAGAAAAAAAAAACTATAAATACATACAAGAAGTTGATCAGATCCTCCAGATCCAATTGGATTTTTTTGATCCAGTGTTTGTTTGGTTTTTTTTTACTAACTTCCTGATCAGAGTCACTGTGGTTTAAATAAAGCCACTAATTTCTTAATATTTGAGGAAATACGTTTACAAACAAAAATAATACCTATGTGAATCCCACCCATGTCTGTCTAGATCAGACCACTTACCTGGAGTGATGAAGCTGAGGCTGAGGAACTGTCAGAGCCAGATTTCATACAGACCTTTCTGTGGAGATATAGTGGTAGGGATTTTATTAACTCGATTCATTTCTTTTCCATTTTTAATTGTAGTTCATGCCCAATTTAGATTTAGGTTTAAATACAGATACAGACATTTGGAGCGTTAAATACACGGACACGGATATACCTCTAATATCATGCCATTATTCCCCACACCAATCTGTGATCCCTCTAAAGAGTCACACACTCATTTAGGTCATGCTTACATAAGAGGTGTATACAAAAGTTTAGACACCCCTTGCCAAACCACATATTTGGTTTATGTGCACATTGATCCCCTCACAATCCATCATGAAGTACTTCAATAAACACAAAGCTGAAGCTTTTGTTACGTCCCTCACACTTCACACTGTTTTGAACATCAACATCTTAAGCATGGTGTCCAAGCAAGATGGCCCAAAAATATCTCAGACCTAGACGTGTTCTGCAAGGAAGAGTGGGGTTTTAATCGATTAAACCAGTATAGATAGACTCCTGGCTGGCTGCGGAAAGTGCTCGCAAGCTGTGATGTCTGCCAAAGAGGATGTTACAAAGTCCTGACTTAGTAGGGTGTCCAAACTTTTGCACACACCATGCACAATTACTTTTGCATACAAAAACTTTTGCATACAGCTGTGTTTACTGAGTTGTGCTTCCAGGTTTTCTGTGAATGAATGAATAATATGATTAAACAGTTCTGCACAGTTCTGCTGTGTTGTTTGTTGTGTGTGTGTGTGTGTGTGTGTGTGTGTGTGTGTGATGATGATGCTCTTGGCTCAGTTTGGGCTTTTTGTTGTGGCTTTGGCATGGAGACTGTGCCCTGAGCACTCACATGTTGATGGTGGATGTGTTTCAGAATCCAGATCTCCCAGGGGCCACAGAGTACCGGAGAGAAACAATCTGCCAGGTGTGCCAGGATAACACACACACACACACACACACACACACACACACACACACACACCACACACACACACGCATAATAACAAGTCTCACTTTCTAGTTCTCTTTAACGTGTGAAATCGTTTGGTTATACTTTGCCATGCAAAAAATATAAATACAAATAATCCATTTATTTTTAGGACGTACACCCATCAGCCTTAATATTAAAACCTCCTGCTTAATATTGTGTAGGTCCCCCTTGTGCGTTCTGACTCCTTTCTATCATAGTCATGAACTTTTTCAGCAATTCTTTTTTTCAGAACTTTGTGCTACAGTAGCTCATCTGTGGGATCGGACCAGACGGGCTAGCCTTCGCTCCCCACACACATCGATGAGCCTTGGGCACCCAGGACCCTGTTGGCTTCCTTGGACCATTTTTGGTAGGTGCTAACCTGTGCATACCGGGAACACCACACATGACCTGTAGTTGTGGAGATGCTCCGACCCAGCCGTCTAGCCATCACTTGTCGAAGTCGTTCAGATTCTTACGTTGCCCATTTTTCCTGCTTCCAACACGTCAACCTCGTGAACTGACTGTTTACTTCCTGCGTAATAAATACGTCCCACCTCTTGACAAATAATCAGCGTTATTCTCATCACCTGTCAGTGGTTTTAATGTTATGGCTGATCGGTGTAAATAATAGAGATGCAGAATACTGGGACATCATCCTACGGTTTAAAACATGGACTGTATCAAGATTATCGAGGATATAAATAACAGCGCCTTCTTAATGTATGATCGCTGCCAATGATTGCGCTTATTAATGATTGTCCTTAGTCATGAAGGCTTCGTTGAGATGCAGTCCTGCATCGATGGTAGTCACAACGGGTTTGGTTGCTTAGCATGTAAAAAAGCAACAGGCTGATGTATAAACACCACACACACACACACACACACACACACACACGTATTCACAGGCCAATCTTTAAATGTTTACATAGCATGAAATTCTACATTTTACCCAAGAGCCAACATGTACAGCTGCGTTATTTAAACACGGCATTAGGATCTGGTTCGAGCCGAGTTGAAGAAGAACCAGAATAATATCTGACTCATATCCGACGTGATAGGGCCAGCAGAGCAAAGAAAATGAATGTATAATTAAGAATGCTGTGTTGCATTAAAACGACACATCATAAAATTAGATCGTTTTTTTTTTGTTCCCCCCTCCGAGAGGTCAGAGAGTCACGACTCTGAATGATTATGAGCACAATCTCGCAAGCAGGATATTAACCTTTTTCAAACCTACAATAAGGCCTTTCTGCTTTTGCATATCTGTGTAATTTGCACGGTTGTGTAACCAGGATAAAAAGTAGTCTCGAAGATAATGTAACCCCGCATGGTGAGCTAGATCGCTAGTTCGGTGCGTTAATACAGACCAAATGAAACAAGTTTAGGATCCTCTTCTAACAAAGTTTCCTGGCATATCGTCTTTACGCTCTCAGTAAAAGAAGTTAAGTCGTTGTCTAACACTTCAGCTATGAGCTAAGGCTAGCGTCTTTGTTTTCTCGGCGTATGTTTAACCACCAGGTGAATGTGTCTGAGTGTTATGACATCTCTGTGTTGCGCTTTTTCTAGTTTTTGTCGGGTTTTTCCACATACTTTGTGTGTTCCTTCCTGATTCTGAAAAGATCATCAGTGCATTGTAATTTAATCCGCCTAGTAAAGGATATGTGTAAGTTTGAAATATTGCCACGTACCAAATGAAAATGTGTTGCGGCAGTTCGTTATAATGAGATTCCTGACCCAGATACTCTTCTGGCCTGTGGGTCAAATCTCCAGAGAGAAAAGACCCAAAGGAAATGAAGTTTTACCCAGAAAGATGGTTTATTATTATTATTATTATTATTATTAGTATTATTATTATCTAACTTTACATGGCAGAATTACCTAATTATTTTATAATGGTGTCAATAACAGCTCCTGTTTCTGTATTATTTTTTTTTAAGATTAATCCTAAGTCCAACTTTAAGTTGATTTAGCTGCCAGTTATACGTAGCTCAATATTAATAGTAAGTGCTGTTGAATTCTTGATTCTGATTGGTCAGATTATCTTGATTCATTTTCTATAACAGCAGCTCTGACAGTTTTGAACAGCTGCAAATCACCGGTTTGTATGAATGCTTTTGTTCGAATACGTTATACGTTATACATTATACGCCATTTGTAAGACGCTTTTGGATAAAAGCGTCTGCTAAGTGAATAAATGTAAAATGTAAATATTAATGCTTTTGTTTGAATACGTAATATTTTTATTGGAAGAGATGGCACATTGGAAAGAGAAACAAACAAACAAACAAACTTTAGTACACTGAGACTCACAAGTGTAAAAGGAAAAAAAAAAAGTTATAGAAATTGTTTTGTCCTGGGCAGCTCTGCCATTATCCCCTCTTGGCAGAATAAACACAGTAAAAATGAATATTCTCCCAAAATTCCGCTACCTCTTTCGGTCCATCCCTTTGTTTTTACCAAAGTCTTTCTTTAAGAATATAGACAAATTAATCTCGTCTTTCATATGGGCAGGAAAAACTCCAAAGGTTTCAAAATTTTCACTTCAGCGGAGTCGACTGAGTGGTGGCCTCGCATTGCCCAAATTCATGTATTATTATTGGGCAGCTAATATTCAGAAACTGGTGCTGTGGGTGCAGGCCCCCTCTCTTCCATGGTGCCACTTAGAAGCACAGTCTTGCATTTCAACCTCCCTCCCTGCTCTGGTGTTCTCCTCCCTTCCCATAGCCCTTTCACAATATACAGATAATCCAGTAGTATGTACCTCTCTAAAGATTTTCTATCAATTTCGTCGTCATTTTAAATCTCTCTCGGCCTCCACCATGGCACCTATATGTAATAGCCATCTCTTTCCCCCCTCCTTTATGGATTCCAAATTCTCTCTTTGGGAAAAGAAGGGTCTGAAATGCCTTGAGGATCTTTTCATTAATAACGTGTTTGCAAACTTTTCTGAATTATCCTCATCATTCAGCCTGCCTCCGTCTCACCTTTTCCGTTTCTTTCAAATTAGGCACTGTGTCCTCCTCCTATTCGTTGGTTTTCCTCCCTTACCTACAAAGTCTGCATGGGAAGAGGTGTTCAAGCTGAATCCTCATCAAAGGGGCATTATTTCACAGATATATGCAACGATCTGGTCACAGGACGATTCTTACAATATCAAAACTGTAAGTGCTTGGGAAGAAGAATTGGGCCTGGAGCTTGAGGATGATTACTGGGGCAGAGCGTTAGATAATATACGGACCACCATGTCCTGTGCTAGACTTAGTTTTATACAGTTTAAAGTGGTCCATAGAGTTCACTTCTCTAGGAGTAGATTGTCTAAAATATATCCCAATGTCCCTGACATGTGTGAGAAATGCAAACTTTCACCCTGTAACCTGAGTCATAGGTTTGCACTCTGTCCCAACCTACAGACCTTTTGGAACTCTTTTTTCGGGACTATGTCCGACATTCTTAAAATCAAATTGGATCTTTGTTCTTTAATCGCCATCTTTGGTGTTTCATCTCA